TTTAACACTATTTTTTTTTTTTTTTTTTTTTTTTTTTCATAATCCCTCTTTAAAAAAGAAGTCACATCTTCGATTCTTGTCATTTATCAAATAATATCAAATATCAACTTGTCTATCATATTCGTTTCTATGCCAATAGTTTCTGGCTCAGTTCAAGTAAATATAACTTTTAAGCGCATCGCATTTAATATATCGCATACAGTTGCCATAGAAACCATCTCGGGTTCCCTATGATATAAAATAAAACAACCATTTCCATTGATTAATCATATACGAGTTCAGATATAACAAACATATTTCGGTTGATCTGCAAATTAATTTGCTTTTGCATTGAGCTTGGCGTATGTGATGTCTCGCTTTATCCTGTGGCTGTCCTTCTCTAGCAGATGGCAAGTAATGCGAACAGCTGTGCGTTCTTCTTATTGTAACTGTTGTTATTTTTGTTGTTGCGTTGGCGACACACGAAATGCGCACAAGTTCAGCTCAATAGCAATAGCAACAGCAACTGACTCACAGAGAGGCTCTCACACAGGCAAACGTATCGCACACATGCACGCACACTTGCTTAGTTAAACCGTTCGCTCCCGAAATAGCCAAGCTGTGCCATTCTTCTTGTTGCTGTCTTTCTTCTCGTTGTCGTCGTTGTTGTTGTTTTTGTTGGTGTATGACTAAACGCAAAAAGCAACTCCATCTGTTTAGTCTGTCCGCCCGTTCGTCTGTTCGTCTGTTCGTTTGTATGTCTGTCCATTTGCCTTCTCGCTCGGTCGGTCGGTCATTCGTTTTGTGTTTCGTTTCGTTTAAATTCGCCTCAATGAACTTGGCCGCGTCTCGGCTTTGATTTCTCATCGAAGACGCCGAGCAAAGTAACTGGACACTGGCTACTGACTGAGGCAGAGGGCATATTGGGCTGGCTGCAGAATTTGTTCGCATGTATTAATGCGCTGCCGAAGAGCGAGCGTATTGCGCAGTCAGTCAGTGACACATGCKTTTATTTTGGGTGTTCTTTTTGTTTGCTTCTTTCTCTGCTGCTGCTCAGTTCAAAAAGTAACCGTCGTCACAGCATTTTTTTTTCCCAAGTGAATGAATTAAAGCTCATTTCATTTCTTACTTTGTATCTGTCTCTGTCTCTGTCTCGCCTGGGCGGATTAAATGGGGCTTTCGATTATAGCTGCTGTCGACTTCCCCTCTCTTTCTGCCCCTTTGCACTCGTCTGCCTTTGGCACACATTTCTAATGCCGCTTCCTTCCGGCTTTTTGCGCATGAGTCAATGGCATTAAAAACTGCTGCGCCACGTACCTAAACTACGGTGAAATTTAATCATCGAATGTGATAAGCGCAGCCGTGTGAGTTTCTGTGTGTGTGTGTTTGTGTGTTTACAGCTGTTTAATTATAGCCACAAACCACATTACGATATTGTGTTATGCCTAAATAAATATATTGCATAGATTATAATTTTTATTGATTCAATTTGTTTATATTTAACTATTATTTGATATTTACTTTTTATAGCTTTAATTTACGAATGCCAAAAATGTTTGCAATGCTTTAAATTTGTAGTATAGATAGCACTATCATAGCATGGAAGGCATATAGCTTCCAATTAACAGATATTTATGGTGTCTTATAGTACATAAAACACTATGGATGGGATTTTTCATTGCTTGAGAAGGTATATGACAGTACATTTGGCGTTTAGATTTGATTATAGAAATATGTACATATTTTCAGGTATCCTTATAATAAAATGTAGTTTAAATTCTTACAATTGATCAAAGAGCTACAATCATGATTAGTTCTAAGCCAATTTTTATGCAAGCTTAACGTTTTAGAATTTTCATAAACTTAACGAAGAAAGACCTGTTAATAAAGAGCAACTTTCTGCTAAATATTTTGATATTAGGGGAAACCCTTTTCATCATATGACAAGATATAGCTGAACATAAACTTAATGAATAGGAAAACAAAATTCGAACATTTTAAGAATGTTAGTTTTAAGCATGAATGGTTTTAAATAAACTTAACGAAGGATTTCGATGTAGGATTACAGATTGTAGGATAGATAAGAAAATTTGTACTAACTCCTAGCTAAATTTTATTATATCGATTCATATACTATATAATGATGTATAAATAAATTATACTAAAACTTATGCACATCTCTATTTTCCAGATACACTGCTAAACCTTTGGTCAAGACAATTTTCGAGGGGGGTATGGCCACATGCTTCGCTTATGGACAGACTGGATCGGGAAAAACACACACGATGGGTGGTGAATTCAATGGAAAGGTGCAGGACTGCAAGAACGGCATCTATGCCATGGCCGCCAAGGATGTCTTCGTCACACTCAACGGGCCCCGCTATCGCTCGCTGAATTTGGTCGTTTCGGCCAGTTTCTTTGAAATATACAGCGGCAAGGTGAACATATATATATACATATATCTCTCAGATAGTCGGCTAGATATTAATATCGTATCGTTGCAGGTCTTTGATTTGCTCGCTGATAAGCAAAAGCTGCGCGTTCTGGAGGATGGCAAGCAACAGGTACAGGTCGTCGGCCTCACTGAAAAGGTGGTCGACAGCGTCGAAGAGGTACTGAAACTCATACAGCACGGCAATGCGGCACGAACTTCTGGCCAAACGTCGGCCAATTCAAATTCATCGCGCTCGCATGCCGTATTTCAAATTGTATTGCGTCCCATGGGCAGCAGCAAAATTCATGGCAAATTCTCATTCATTGACCTGGCGGGCAATGAGCGTGGCGTGGACACATCATCGGCGGATCGCCAGACCCGCATGGAGGGCGCCGAAATCAATAAGTCACTGCTCGCACTGAAGGAGTGCATCCGTGCGTTGGGCAAACAGTCGGCACATTTGCCATTCCGTGTCTCCAAGCTGACGCAGGTGCTGCGTGATTCTTTCATTGGGGAGAAGAGCAAGACGTGCATGATTGCCATGATATCGCCGGGCTTGAGCAGTTGCGAGCATACATTGAACACATTACGCTACGCGGATCGTGTCAAGGAGCTGGTGGTGAAGGATGTGGCCGAGATCGGGCATGGTGACTGTGAGCCCATCGACATGGACGAGGAGGAGGAGGTCGAGGAGCAACAGCTGGCCGAACATGGCGTTAACATGGCCCAGCAGTCGGCCCATCATCATCACCACCATCAGCATCAGCAATCGCTGCAGCGCGGCCACAACAACAATAACAACAATAGCAAGAACGGAAATGCCGCCAACATGGATCTGGCCATGCTTAGTTCGCTGAGCGTAAGTATATCCCTCTCCGAATATTGTGACACCAGCTGGCGGCCTGGCCGTCATGCATGCCCCAAGCCACAGTTCTTCCTCTTCCCCCACATCGTTTTTAGTATATGGTTTAAGCATAATTTAGTCATTAAGCATAAGCTAGTTGTATTAGTTGTTAGTTGTTACGGCATTTAAGTTAGACTAGTTATTAGCTGTTTATATTGTAAGATTTAGTTTATTGTTAAGTTGAAGTAATTTCCGCCAGATGGCGTGTTAGCATATTACATATTTCCTATTGATAAGAATTTGCTATAGAGTAACGAAAGTTTATACAAATCGTAGCAATTGGCGCTGCCTTATTACTACTCTGATAATTGATACTAGACTTCAGCTTAAATGTCGCCGACATGCGCTAATTTCCGCCAGATGGCGTAAATAGAAATATCATAATTATATATACAAAATATATTCAGCTCTATCCTAAA